CAGACTCTTTGCGACCCCATGGGCTGTAGCCCACCAGGCTCTTCTGTCCACGGGATTTTCCAGGCAAGAATACTGGAGTGGGTTGCCATTTCCTCCTCCAGGGGATGTTCCTGACCCAGGAATTGAACCCACATCTCCTGCATTGGCAGGCAGATTCTTTACCACTAGCGCGACCTGGGAAACTGGGAGCCAAAGAGAACGGGCTAAAGTGGTTGCAAATGTCTAACAGATTTTTATGGGAGAGAGCTATGTATCAATTTTATCCTCCTAAAAGGCCCTGGCCTTTCCTCCTGCAAATGGTCACCTGAGCACCCAAGTCAGCAGGTGGGATAACAGAAGGTTGAGAACCCAGCCTGCCCACAGCCTTCCAGGAAGACATCCCTGAGGAGTACACTGCTGACTGGTATCGCCCCACCACACGCTCGGGGCAGAGAAGGAGGAACTGACTGGGTCTGAAACACCCTTATCTGGACACTGCCCAGAATGATTTGTGTATGTCAACACGGTGCTGTTTAGTTGGGGTTGGTTATTTTCCTCCTGGGAAGATCACCCATAGGAACCTCACTGGGGGCAGTCTCATTAGAGTCAGGCAGCTGTGTCTACCAGTTCAAACCCAGCAGCTGTTTAAAAAAACACTAAAAGAATCCTGGAGTATGGGCCTTCCAGAACGTGGGGGCAATCTTGAATTCAGATGGCAGAGGTCAAAAAGCGACTGGTGTAAAACTGGCAGGCCGATAGGGTGTGACATTTTATACTCCTCTGTCCTTCACTGATTCATTCAATAATAAGAAAAGTCTACATCTATTGCTTATTATGTAGGAGGCACCGTTCTAAGCACTTTGCATGCACTTTGCTCTGGCAACAAGAGCCAATGGTTAAAAATAAGAAGATAGAAGGTGGGAAGACTGGAGCTGAAGAGACTTCCCCGATGGTAGGTCTGTGTGCCGTGGTGATAGCAGGGTGTTTGGTGAACAGCATCTCAAGGGCAGAGGGAAACTTTGAGGTGATTCTGGTGGGCTTTACCGTCCAAGGAAGCAACAGTAATTCAGGGAATGGGTGGAAATACCCAGGTTCCAAACAATCAGACTGTTTACACAGTTGGGCCCCTATCAATAGCTTGGAGTACATGGAACAGAATTCAGTTATGCAGGGAAGAAAAGAGCTACGACAAACTTAGCAGAGATTTAGGGCTTCACTCAAGCGGAATGGAGTTAAGGGCAGGGTGCAGTCTCCATGAGATGCTGTGATGCTATGTGGGAAAACTGAGATGGAAACCCAGCCACACACACTGGGAAAAACATTTTGAGGAATAAAAGAAAGTTATGACTCAATGGGCACATCTTGTTTATTCCCATGAGACACTGCTGAGCCAGGCTCTAAGAGAGCAAGACTGGGACCATTTATTACGCTGACGATGCCGACCTGGCCAGAATGAGTTGAAGTCTGGGAAGGGAAACCAAATGTAGAATCCGGGTGATTCAAACAATTTTGGTAGACAGCTTCATGAGAAGATAAGAGTATAAATGAAGAGAGACAAGCTTGAGTTTGAATCTTACTCTGCCACTTACCAGTTATGTATCTTTGAGCATGCGCCCTAACTTCTAATCCTCAAAATCCTTATGCAAAATATTCCTATGGGACTTCCCTGGTGGTCCAGGGGTGAACAATCCCCTGCCAGTGCAGGGGACATGGGTTCAATTCCTGGTCTGGGAAGATTCTATATGCCTCAGGACAACTAAGCCCGTGTTCCACAAGAGAAGCCACTGCAATGAGAAGCCCATGCACCACAACGAGAGAGTGGACCCTGCTCACTGCAACCAGAGAAAGCCCAGGCGCAGCAATGAAGACCCAGTGCAGCCAAAAAAAAAAGCAAGCTTCTATAAAAAATATCCCTATGACTGTGACAACTGAATATACTGCTGAATATAAAAGTGCCAAGGACAGTTCTGACACACAGTAGGTGCTTAACAAATGATACTTTCTCTCCCTCCCTTACAGACCCCTGTTGAATATTATTAATATTTGGTTTCATTATTCCATTTCTCACTACTGATGATAATGTCTACCTCATTGATGTCAGTAAAAAAACTTCAAACCATGTTTACATATTAACTTCCCAGGCAGGACATGTCTATCCATTTGCCTCATATTAAAGTTTGTGATAGAAAAAAGGAAGCCATTCAGAATCACAAAGAAGCCTACTGCTATCTTTGAACCACATTCTTTAAGGTCAGCAAAGAGCTGGCTCTTCAGAGATGAATAAAATGCACACCCACTGCTTGTCCAAATAGTCATCCAGTTTCTCTCTCTCTCTCTCTCTCTTTCTTTTTAATTCTCTCTCTTCCTGTCCCTCAGATGAGAATGATTTAATCTCCAAAGTATGCGTGATGACACATACTATTTCTTCCTCCAAGAATGTGATGTTACAATGTGAGGCCCCATTCCAGAACTGGATTGAGAGCGAGAGGTCATATGTCCAGTCTCCATACAGGCATTCACTAGCTGAATTTCACATAGAGAGCATCTCTGTTTCACAGCCACAGAGAACATTGCTTATCTTGGCAGGCTCCTCACAAACGTAAGACACAGCACAGATAAGCAGTGCACGATGAATGAGTCAGTGCAATTTCAACCAGGAAAGACCCAAACAAACAAACAAAACCCCACCACTGACTGCGACCCAATGGCAAATTAAATAAATCACCTTTGTACCAGACATGGCAGTATTTTCGTTGCTGTTAACCTTTATAGAAACAACATGTTACTATGAAATCATGATCACATGGTCATGTAATTGCTATGAAAATGATTCATCAATTAACCATCAGGTATTTATTTCAACTGTGTACAGCAGTATGTGAGTGCTTTAGGGTTTCTAAGTGAAGTCTAAATAAAACTAATGGACGTGGTCTCAAGGACAGACAGCCTAGCTTGAAAGAGAGAATCACCATCATGAAAAAAGAATACCCCCAAATAATTCCCAGTTGAGCACTGACTAGCCGAGTGTATACAGAGAAGGAGATCAAAGTGGCTGAAAGAGGTTTTGAAGTGTTCCAGGCCATCCTTCACATGTCTGACGGAGCAGGATTCCTAGAAGACAAATCTGTGTTACTACCCCTGCCTAAAACCCTTTACTGACTGCCCAAGGCCCACAAAACAATTCCTGAATTTCTGAGTGAAGTGTATACGTCTTTTCATTATTCGGTGCTTCTCATTTCATCTCTTGCCATTTCTCTTCGGCTGCAGATGCTCCCAACTGCAGGACATTCTATTAATAACACTGCCCTTTACACAGTTTTCCCTCTTCTGGGAATATTTGCTGGGGTTCCTCTTCTAAAATCCCTTCTGTTGGGTTAACTTCTACTTTTCCTTTAAGAATGAACTCAAGCCTTACTTCTTCGCTGAGAAGCTTTCTTTCCCTGACACCCACACCTCCATGAGCATACTCACACCCATGCAGGATTAATGCGCCCTGCTGTAGGTTCTGAAAACACCTAGGGACATATTGATTACATACAACACTCATCACACAGCATTGCAATTATTGATTGATTTAACGCCATTCCCCCACTTATTTCCCATTTTTTAGTGTCAACTTTGCGTGCGTGCTCAGTCACTCGGTCGCGTCCAACTCTTTGCGACCCATGGACTGTAGACTCCCAGGCTCCTCTGTCCATGGAATTATCCAGGCAAGAATACTGGAGTGGGTTGCCGTGCCCTCCTCCAGGGGATCTTCTCGACCCAGGGATCGACCCCAGGTCTCTTGTGTCTCCTGCATCGGCAGCCAAGTTCTTTACCACTAGCGCCACCTGGGAAGCCCTGAAATACACATAAGGATGATAAACTCCAAATTTAGGATAGTGATTACCTTTGGGGAAGGAGGAAAGCAAATAGAATTGGGTGCCAGGGCCAGGACTAGCGTGAGTAAGCAAGGCACCTAGCATGCAAAATATAAGGATAGATTAACTTCCAAGCTTGTGCGAGTGCAGGACACAAACCTGAGAGTGGGCACCTCCTGAAATTTAGTGCCCTCAGCACCTCCCTTTCTAATCCTAGTCTTGACCCTATTAAGGGACATACACAGAGACTTCAAACAGCTTTCTGCAGAGTTTTACTGCTTTAAGGAACAAAAACCAAAACTCTGCTGTGCTAGTATTTCTACAGAAAGAATTTATAGTTTCTTCGTCTGGATTTCACATGTTTAAGACTATAGCTATTATACTACGTTCTTGGATTGGAATCATTACAAAATGCAAATATTAGAGAGTTGGACACCCAACACAAGTGCTCTGAGGCCCTGGAATAATGATTTCTCATGAAAGATTATTTTCCTCTTAACAGAATAACCAACAGAAAGACATGTGACCAAGCTTGGCAGTGAGGCTCTCTCTCCCATTGTTTTGCATTTTGAGCAGAGAAATGCGAGAATGAGAGGGGAGAGACCAGTTTGGAAGTTATAGCAGGGGTAGGGCTCTGACTAGTTCCTGCTGACTTGGCTCCTGTCCTATTTCCAAACACAGTTCTCCAAATTCCCATCAGTTCTGCGAACCTTCCAATATCCTCCAATAATTTGCCAGTTTCTTTAGAGTCCATTCCTGTTGCTTGCAACCAAGGAGCCCTAACTAATACTTAATCTCACACTGTCAAAGAATGAATTTCTATAATTCCACATGTGTTAGTTGATCCTGAGGAATCAATTTTCTCACCACAATTCGATTTCCCATGTATGTGTGGTAGGAGTCTACAAGGACAAATGCCTATCTGCATGTTTTAAGTCCTATCTGTCAGGGCTACCTCCCTTGGCTGAATGAATCGCTGTGGAGTTATTAATGTCCAAGGGACATACCCCTGACTTCTTACTCTCTAGCTGTGGTTAAGCCTATGGCCCTTGAATAAAAAACTGCCAAGCTGGCCTGTGATAACAGCTGCACCAAGAATGAGCATCTCAAATCTAAGAAAACCCATAATTGCACCAACTGTGTCGCTTAGCGCTGTCTTACCTCCTCTGTCTTTAAAACTTCCCATATCCGAGCATGATCTTCCACCAGCCAGTGCCCTGTGCTTTCTACCTTGGTGGGAAGTTTGAGTTTAGACACCACATGTGCAGGCTCTCCCGAGGCCTTCTCCTCCATCTTGAAAGAGCCAGGTAGGGGGCATTACGGATCTGTGTGAACGAACAAAGTGGGGTCCAGGTTAAAACACTGCATAACAACAACAGCAACAAAGAGACGGCAGAGCAAGTTATCATGCCTGATTTGCGGATAGTGAGACCATCAAAAATAGTATCATAACAGACACTAAATTTTATGGCCACTTTTTATATTTTAGCTATCCATGATTGGCATTTTAATGCAGGCTTCTGGAGAAAGGGAAGCATTTTGATAATGGACAAAGTGATAAAACTTTAAAGCAAAGTAAAAAGTATCCTTCGCCTGTTCTATCTGCTTGTCACTTTGCTCTGGTCCCTCAGTAGAAGAGATGGAAATGGGTGGATGTAAGACACACCTGGGCTTCCTGGGTGGCTCAGTATCCACCTGCCAATGCAGGAGACATAGAGAGGGTTCTAGCCCTGGGTCGGGAAGATCCCCTGAAAGAGGATTACTTCAGTAATCTTGCCTGCAGAATCCCACGGACAAGGGGTCTGGTGGGCTACAGTCTATGGGGTCGCAAAGAGTCAAACTGAGCATTCAAAGACAAGCCTGAATGATGTTTTCGCATTTCCATGCCATGCGGGGCATGTGGGGAAAGCACTGGCTCTGGGGTCAGGAGTTTAACTCTTTAAACATCTGTTAAATATTGTTTGTTCGAGTCTCCATGCGAGGCAGACACAAGTAATTCGGCAGTTTGGTTCTTAACCTTAAGAAGTTTGCAGTCTCCGGACAGAAAGGGTTGTAAACAAGTGGTCACCATGCAGTGTTCACACCATGTGTGAAATGCCACAGTAATCATGTTTCTAAACTGCAGCAGAAGCAAAGAGGAGGTTCTCTTTGATATTTATTAGCTGTGTTAACTTCTTGAGCCTCAGTTTCATCAGCAGTCACTCTAGAGACAATATTTAAAAACTGATGCCAATTCTATAAAGTCTATTTCCTTGACAACATTCCACCTGCCACTGGTTTGTTCAGAATCACGTTATACCTGCCCAGCATCATACTGCCCTAAGGAATCTCCTTACCCCTATATTCACATTCCCGAGCCCATCCTTCTCAGAGTAATTTTTCTAAAAAGCAAATCTGACAATGATGTTCCACCTACCAAAATCTTTTCCCAGAGATTAAAGTCCAAATTCTGTAACACAGCATCCAAGACTTCCTCCACCTTCCTCCTCCTACCACGCCCGGCAGCCTCCTCAACCACTGTCTCTGTTGTTTAAAGTGCTCATAGGGACTTCCCTGGTGACTCAGTGGTAAATACTCTGCCTTGCAATGCAGGGGACACAAGTTCAATCCTTGGTCCTGGAAGATTCCACATGCCGCAGAGCAACTAAGGCAATGAGCCGCAACTGCCGAGCCTCCAGGTCACAATTAGAAAGATCCCACAGGAGACAATGAAGACCCTGCATACTACAACTAAGGCCCAGTGACACAGCTAAGTAAATAAAGTGCTTGCATGCGTCTGACTCTTTTATAACCCCATGGACTGTAGCCCGCCAACCACCTCTGTTTATGGAATTCTCCAAGCAGGAATACTGGAGTGAGTTGCCATCCTACTCCAGGGGATCTTCCTGATCCAGGGATCGAACCCGTGTCTTCTGCATTGGCAGGCAGATTCTTTACCACTGGCCACCTGGGAAGCCCCAAATAAAGCGCTTATGGATCTCAAAAACACCCAGGCTCTTTCAGCCTTTGTTTGTGTCACCTCCCCTCCACCCACTATGCCAAGAGAATAAAGACCCTTCCTCCTTTGTATCTCTCTGTATATACTCTGTACAGAATTCTACCATGTCACTTACAGCACTTTAAATTATCTGCTTTCAATTCTATTTCTACCTTTTGGTCTTTTAAGCATCTAAACACTAGAGACAATGTCATGTACAGAGTAAGTACTAAATATATGTTTGATGGATTCATACGTTTGATGGATTCATTAATTCAGTAAATCATGAGAATCCAGTAAAATTAAGGCAGCAGATCTAATATATTCAAATAACAGATTACAAATCGAGTTAAACCTCTTCTCTTTAACTTTTGTTGACTTAGTGGACTGTTAGCTCTTCATAGGAAAGAGTTAAGTCTAACATTCATCCTGCACCCCTAGGCAGTAACTCTGCAAGCAGCAATTGCTTATTAGCCAACAACAGAGTCATTTTCTTGGAAATGTCTTCAAGGAATTGAGCATGCCTGCAAAAAACAGGTCTTAAGCTCACATAACCTACTACCCAAATAAAAGCAAATGAAAAATAGTACTGATGAACCTATTTGCAGGGAAGGAACAGAGATACAGGTGTAGAGAGCGGACTTGTGGATGCAGTGGGGGAAGGAGAGGGTGCGATGAATTGAGAAAATAGCATTGACACATATACACGATCATGTGTGAAATAGCTAGCTAGCGGGAAGCTCCTCAGCTCAGCCTGGTGCCCTGTGAGGACCTAGAAAGGTGGGATGGCAGAGACGAGGGAGGCTGAAGAGGGAGGGGAGACATATATACAATTATGACTGATTCATAAACCAGCAGAAACCAACACAACATTGTAAAGCAATTATCCTCCTGTCAAAAACTAAATTTAAAATAAAAGTAAACAGAAATGGCATTGATAAGCTAGGCAGGGGTGATAGGTCGGAAAATTCGAGAGAAGGGTCTTCTACAACCAAGTTACTCCTCTGCCTCACATGCTCCATCTGTGAGCCACGGAGAGCAAGCAATCTTCTGGCAGAGAGCAGTGATGAGGAAAACTTAACCAAAACCATTGTGCAGTACTCAGAAGCATGAAGCACTCAATATACTCCCACCAGGAACCAGGAAACATAACCTTGACAATTAATGAACAAAGTTCTTCTGAATGAACATAAATGATGCTGACACATACATGCAAGGAAATAAACAAAGGAGAGTCATCTGGGGGTTTCAGTTCCAAAAAAAGGAAATTAAAATAAACAGTGAAAATGGAAACAGGCCAAATTAGTAGGGAAGGAAATTCCATTGTTGTTATTGGAGATAATACTGTAAACAACAAATAATAAATCAGAACAAAGTGGAAAAACTACAGCAGATGGTTTTGGGGCTGTACCATTTGTATATCATGGAAAGGTACCTGGATAAACTATACAGACTGCAGAACCTCAGGGGGAACAAAGGAACATCCGTAAATGTAACAGAGCCCAGTGACCCCATGGCTGTTACCTGACTGTCTGCCCACAGCTGCTGTCTCATCCCCACAGTGTAGGTGTAAGTTGGCACGTTTTCCGTATTGGAGACTGACCCGACTATTGCATACTGACTTCCTACAGACTGCCCCTTACCCTGTTTGGGAAGAAGTTGCAATTCTGAGTTTTAAACCATCCCAAGGTACTTGGGTACTGAGGATGGGTGCAGAGAGGCAGCCAGCTCTTACGAGGCTCTTCAAGCATTCTGAGATCCGCCATCCTCTCTGGGACATGAGGCCTTTCCACCATGCTCAGTATATTTCCTCGCTCATATGCACAAAACGACCCTATGAATAACATAGATTGCTCTTTCATTGCCTCCTAGTCACATTGCTAGGTATTTTTCACATTACAGTATGTCCCCTGAATACAAACCTTTAAGTTGTGAACTTGCAAAGATGCAAACTTGCACTCACATGTCCAATCACATAAGCTAGTTCACGCATCTGGGCTACATTGTCATCTGCGTACATCCTCTACAAGTGGCTGTGTTTTTCTGTACTTTGCTGTACAAAGTATTGTACTTTATAGAGTGCAGTGATACAGTAACTTTATTTCAAGTCCAGAATATATGGAAGCAAGTGTAAAAACTGTGGTGATGTAGCTGGTACTGTACTGTACGTTTCAAGGTACCATACTGCAAGATTAAAAATGCTTTTTTTTATTTTTTGTGCTTGCTTTTTATATATTATTTGTGTGAAAAGTATTATAAACCTATTACAGTACGATACCATATAGCTGATGTGTTAGATGTGTTACTTGGTTACCTAGGCTAACTTTGTTGGACTTACGAACAAATTGGACTTAATGAACACATTCTCAGAACAGAACTCATTCATATGTTGGGGACTTATTGTATCTCAAATCCACACAAAAACGCCTCAGGGTAAACATCACCATTTCACAGCAGTGAAACATATGACTCAGAGAGATTAAGTCAGTGCTAGAAAGTTGTACAGTTCCCAAGTTCACACACTCTCTCCTAGGTCAGTTCAGAAGGGCTTCAACCCCTGGCCCCTACCTTTCACTGGTGGAATGAGACCTCCCTCTCACGCCCCTTCCCCACGGACTAGAGTTGAAGTGTCACTGTCTTAGGTACCTGGCATAACCGTGTTCCCTGAGAGGTGATCACATCTGATGAATCATGGGTAACAGTGGAATAGATAGAGGGAGGGGAAATATCATGAAAAAATAGACCATGCCATTCCCTTTTTATTCCCACCTTAACTTCTGACCAGGGCAGGCTTTATAGGCATGACCTATACAGTCACACACGGCCTTTACTCAGAACAACTAAGCCTACTCTGAACAACTCTACTGTTGTTCAGTTGCTAAGCTGTGTCCAACTCTTTGCAGCCCCGTGGACTGCAACACACCAGGCTTCCCTGTCCTTCACTACCTCCCAGTTTTCTCAAACTCACGTCCATTGATATTATCTAACCATCTCATCCTCTGTTGCCTCCTTCTCCTCAATTTTTCCTAGCATCAGGGTATTTTCCAGTAAGTCGGCTCTTCACATCAGGTGGCCAAAGTGTTAGAGCTTCAGCTTCAGAATCAGTCCTTCTGATGAACATTCAGGATTGATTTCCTTTACGATTGACTAGTTTGATCTCCGTGCAGTCCAAGAGACTCTGAAGAATCTTCTCCAGCACCACAGTTAGAAAGCATCAATTCCCTTCCCAGATGGCACTAGTGGTAAAGAATCTGCCTGCCAATGCAGGAGACGCAAGAGACATGGGTTTAGTCCCTGGGTTGAGAAGATCCTTTGGAATAGGAAATGGCAACCCACTCCAGTATTCTT